AGGCAATAATGATAGTATCTTGTAGCTCAACCGCGGCTCACTTTTTCTCAGTAATGGGGAAGAGGACCAAAATATACCAATAAAAGGCTTTAATGAGAAAAAGATAGGCAGTCAAGAATGTGTTAAGAACTTGAGATTTTTAACAAAGAGATATCAAATTTAAACCTCGAGTCGGTTGTGAAAGGATTTAAAAAAAATGAGAGGATTATTATTTCTTATATAATTCATGATCAAACTATCAACCATGTGATCTAGAAGAAGAGTTGCTTGTACTCTCAAAGTATAAGTCTAAGGTTCAATCCCTACTCTCCACCTAAATATATATATATAATTCATATCATGAAATGGAAAACAAAAATGCTTATTATGAATCAAATTTATTTCTCGGTGGATGTTTCACGTACACCTTCCATCCTTTATAGATGTTAGGAGGATAATTTAAATTTAATTATAGATGTTGAAGTAAAACAGTTGACATGTGAGAGGTAGACTTGTGTCGTGAAGTGCAAAGACATCGAAAAGAAAAAATGTGTTAAGAATAGAATATATGCGGAGGCCAATAAATCTAATAAGCTTGTCTTTTAGCCTTTGGAGTTTTGACTCAATTTGATAATTAATTAATTTTGAATAAATTTTGTGCAAAAATTAAATATTATTATGAGATAGAAAAAATGAATTTAAATATCAAAATCATCTATCCATCAAGATCTTAATTTTTTTAAATAAAATTTCACGTAAAGATTTATTTGACTCCACCTACATATCATATAGAAAAAAAAAAACTACATTTTAATGATCTAAAGCAATGATTAGATATTGAAATAAACAGTTATTAATCCATAATGCTATAATTATAATGTTATGTAAAATTTTAAATTTATAATTATGATATAATATTAAATAATTATAATGTGATATTAAACAAATAAATACATATAATATTACAAATAAATCTTAAAAAAATTAATTTTATAATAACACATTATATTTTAAACTTCTTTTTTTTTTTAACATTTCGAACTTGTCTAAAGAAGGGGGGAATGCACATTGAGCCTTTAGGGCCAGGTGCATTATATTTTAAACTTTTAATATCACACAACATCATGATTATAGTATTTTCGTTTATCAAATGTGAAAAATAAGAAGATCAGAAAAAACCAAGGAATTTGAGGTTGATTCAAGGTTAAATTGTAATTTTGTTGAACATAACACAGAAATTATCTTTATCATATTAAGTAAGAATAAATATAAAATTTTATCAATTTATTATTACATTCTTTTCTTATTAGTAAAAATACCTAGACCACTAAAATTAAATGGAGGGAGTAATTATTTTATAAATTTTAAATTGATATATATTATATTCTTAGATATATTGTTGTAAACAAATATTTGTCATAAAAAAAAAGAAGATAAAAGATAAAAGAAAAAAAAGTGGAAAACCTATTTCCTTAGTCACTTTGGGTTGTTAAAATCCCTCAACCTTATGGAAATTACCTTAACGAATTTATATAGTAAATCAATTACAATTCCAAATTCAGTATATGCATTCTCTTCAATTGGTATTGAACTCCACCTTATTTCAATTAATTTTGTTACATTAATAATACCACTAAATATCAACCTGGGAAAATAATAGAAAAGGATTCCTATCGCCTTTGAAAATTGAACAACTTGACTGCAATGGCAAAAACCAGAGCGAAAAGAAGTGCAAATCCAACAATCACTCCAGCGACTACTCCTAAAAAGTCATCCCTGTAACCATAATAATCTCTCAACAGTTCTTTTACTGTAACACCATAATCAAGGACATCGTTCTGGTCTCCATATTGTGATGCCATCATTCCATACAATGTATAAGCCAGCGGGCATGACCAATAGTACCATTTCCACCACACTGGAATCCTCTGTATTTGAACAAGGGAAGGTATTATAAGAATAGATACTAAAGCATTAGAACTTACTAAAAGAATCATGGATAGCCCAGGTTCACCTTTAATGGGACTATGAATCCTGTGAAAAGATTCCAAAGTGCAAAAATTCCAGTAGCACCAATTGAAGCGAGGTGGTAGTTTGGTGTCAAAGCAACGGTCATGATGCCCGAGAAGGTGAAGTTTAATAATGTGACGTACACGAAGAATATATACCATAAGAATTTAGCAGCAGTCCATTCAAATTTCATCATTGCATAAACAATGACACCATAGATCAATGCTTGTACGAAAACATAAGGGAGCTCAATAAGAACCTGAGGCAATATTAACAAAAATGTTTAGGGATAACCCAGAATGTAGTGCAATATAAAATTTTAATATTTGAAAGAAAAGAGGTAGTTACCTGAGCTAAAGCATAGGGCAATGAAGAGTACATTC